GCTTCCACTGCGCTGGCGCCGAGCTTGAGCTCGGCGACGTCGACTACCTCTCCCTCCCTTCCCTGCTCGTCGACGAGAGGGCCGCGGAGTCTCTCTTCTTCCCTCTCAGCGTCAGCATCATGGCCGAGCTGACGTTCGCCGACCAGGCACAGATCATGGCCTCCATGAAATGCCACCAGCATGGTCGCCAGATTGAAGCACGAGATATCCCTTCCGACGATGGTTGAGGGACTTCACGCTGTGGAGCATCGCCACCAAGGTCCCGGAGAATGCTCAGGGAGCCGCGGTGGTGTTGAGACTGGGAGGTGCTGCGCGAGAGTTTGCGGACGAGCTGGATGCGCAGATTTTGCAGCAAGGCCAGGTCATGGACCTGCAGGACGGCCTTGGGCCCCGCCAAGTGACAGGCCTTGCTGTTCTGCTGCGGGCGCTCGCCCGCAACTGCGCGATGGAGACTGGTGAGGACGCGATCAAGGCTATGGCGGAGGTGATGGCTTTCTCGGCTCAGTCCCATGACGATCGACATCGTGTTGAGTCGGTTCCAGGTGTTTGAGTCAAGGGCCATGGATCATGAACTCAATCCTGAACCAGCTGGCTGAGCTTGGATGTTGATGACGGGGCTGCGAGTTCAGCCTGAAGAGTGGCTGCGCCAGTCTGGCATGTTCGAGAACAGATTGCCGCGGGATGATGAGGATTTCGCTCGCCTTGTTCAGAGCATGCGTCGTCGTGGTCATGCCCTCATGCAGGATGGAATTATGAGAGCAGCAGAGAGAGCAGTGAGGATTCCAGGCGCGACGGCTCATCCAGCTCATCTGGGCTTTGGTAAAGGTAATAGACACTTCGTTGCGACGGGGACAGGTCAAGGTTTCTTCCCAACGTTCGGCGCCGAGGTCAGCTAGTGGGGGGAATTCTTTCCGGCGTCGGCGGCGCCGCCACCGCCGGCGTCATGGGCTCCAGGTGTTGCCTCGTCGTCATCAGCAGGAGTTCAGAATGTCTATTTCGACGAAGATAATACTTCCACCAGCGGCGCGGACTACTTCGATGAAGGCCCTCAGGATCTCAGTGCCTACTTGGCGGGCGTGGGCCCCGAGATGCATGGAGACGTGCTGCGCCGCGAGTACATCGTGTCGCGACGACGTTGGAGGCAATTCAGTGGCAAACATTCTAGATTTCATCTTCGTCATGGACGCAAGGGGTCGACGTACGCAGGCAAGAATCGTGGTCGCGGGCTCCTCGGACAAGGGTTTCATTTTGAGAACGTCGCTTCCGCCTCCGCCTTGGCTGCCCCCTTGTCCAGCGCTGCTTCGAGCTCCGCGTTTGTAGGGGCAGCTTATCAGGCAGGCCGGAGGGGTAAGTTTTTTTTTTTTTTTGGGGGGGGGGGGGCTCTTTCAGGTGGTGGTGTGTGGGGGGGGGGGGGAGCGGGTAAGGGTAAAGGTAACCCACGCGGCGCACAGGGTAACGTTCTGCGCTGCCATACTTGCAACGGCGACCAGCACCTGGCTCGAAAGTGCCCGCAGCAAGGAAAGGGCGCAGGTGCTTTCGTCATTCGTGAAGGTGGTCATGGATACGACGGCGTTCGGTATGGTGCTGGTGCTGGTGGTTCGTCTGGCGAAGGCTGGTGCGCCACTGCAGGTGGCGACCGCGAGCAGGACCAGGTTGCTCTTGAGGGCGAGGCTTGCGACGGTTGAATGGGGGACTGGCAGGGCTACGAGGATGGCGAGGACTACTTCGCGGAGGACGACGTTCTCCGGGATGACGGCAAGGGCAAGAAAAGGCAATTATGAGAACGTTGATCGTCGTGCTCAGCGTGGTGGCTCTCGGGCTCAGACCGCGCAGCTGGGCGGCATCCTGAGCGCCGAGGTAGACGAGCGCAAGATGGAGGCGGAGTCGGAGACGGCCCTGATTGTGAAGCATGCAGCCGTGCATGTACCCAAGGCTTCTGTGCCGCCGCCGACGCACCAGGCACCGCCGGTGAAGTCTGTGCCCGCGATCGCTCCTCCAGGAAGTGATTCGCAAGTGCCTGCAGTTGGTGCGGCTGCGGCTGTGTCTCCTTTTCTGCGTCGAACTACAGGCGGCAAGTGTTTGTTCTGCCCGACCCAGGAGCGCAGTCGGTCGCTGGCTCGACAGCGTCTTGGAGCGTGGCATGCACGCACTCGTTTGTCTGATGGCCGTGAGGCTCTGCTGGTGGATCCAGGTGCGCACGACAACTTGATTGGCAGTGAGTGGTTCGAGCGTGTTGCCGTCATCTGGGCGGCGAGAGGCGTCGAGGTCGAGCGCGTGAGAATGGGCAGGCCCATCGGTGTGGAAGGTGTCGGCAACGATGCTGATGCTTGCGTGGATCGTGGTCGTGTTCCTCTTGCTCTGGCCGATGGTGGCGAAGGCAGTTACGACGCACCGATCGTTCCGAACTCGTCGGTGCCGGCTTTGCTTGGCAATAAGGCCCCTCGTCGCAATCGTGCCATCGTGGACTGTTTAGACGGCGTTC